GCTATTGACCAGCAATCTCCAACCAACTCTGTCCTGGGCTCTCCTTTCTACTTAATCACAAGAGTTATTCATTCTTTTCATGCCTGTATTCGATTCACAGGGTAATGTGTTCTTTGGTCTTCCATCATAAATTTCGCCTTCAAGATTCCAAGTTAGGGCTTACCTGTTTCATACATACCTCCAGAGTTTTTTCCTAATTTTCTCTTCAGCTGGAAACTGGTTTGTTCTCTTCCATAGTAGGATGTCACTAATAATCTTCGGTCTGTGGATACGAAGTGTCTTGCGTAACAGACCACATAAATACATGAACCTTTTTGATGATTATAGTAGTATACATATATTTGTATGAAAATATCAGCAAAACAAGAGAATGAACACTTTGAAAAGGTAAGTAATGTTTGTTATCTGAATAAACTGAAATGTTTTATATTGATAATGAAAGTTACTTTTGGCTCTAGTTAACTGATACAAACGAAAAGAAGTTTGACCAATTACTAATTATAATAACAGAAACTAGCTAGAAAAATATTTGGATCATTGGTTTTTCCTGTTGTTAATATCAAAAACAGATTTTTATGTCTCTTACACATTTAACTAGATACCCGTTAAATAAATTGGTGCTTGTTTATATTCAGTAACCAAACGGATAAAATGTTGGCGTTTTGGAGGAAAGTTACTGATTTCGAGTTTAAATGGAACTAAAGACACCTAGATGATGATCCCAGAATACAACGAAACTCTAGTCCCTTATTTCACTGCTAGTCATAATCAAAATTTACAAACGTTTTGAATCTGCTTATTTGTGGGAATCTACTGTTAAATTTTTGCTCACATCACCTATAAGATAAAATATTTGTGAGTAATGAGTCTCTTTAATCGCAGTTTTCTAGTCATACTGTTTTAAGCACGCTAAAAATATGTCCCCTAGAAAGCGAGGATGGATACTGATGAAATAAACAGTGGCCACAACAATTAGCACAAATCACTTTTTGAAGTTATTTCTTTGCCTACTTATAAGTAGCAAAGTAATCATTGAAAAATTAACTCGGTCTTTTAAAACGAATGGCATGCTCTAATTAAATTATCCAATAAGTTGTACTATTACTAAGTTGTACTATCTATGTTGTTTAAATAAAAGAGCTCATCCTACAAATCTAATGGTCAAACAACTTGACAGTCCTACTTTTTAAATGAAAGTATTCAGATGACGTACAAACAGAATTACTACATTCACGGGTTAGTAATGGTGTTTAATCCTTAATCACACTTAATGAATTGGAAGTAAATATTAATGAGTTTGTATAGCATACAGGTAATTATTACTAGAAGTTTCAAATTGATTACAAATAAGGACGTTTTAAAGAATGTTTAGTGGCCGGGTATCTGTTTAGCTTCGTGGTGGTCAGGTATTCGATATGTTCTTAGAATTTGTATGCTGCTCTTCCAGATAACCGTTACGAAATAATGTCTCACGGTTAATAAATCAAAAGAGGAATATGAAGCGTTGAATACGTTTATTTGGCGCACCACAAATAGACCACCAAACAACAGGCACACGAGTTCCGAGAGGCAAGCAAGCGAATGAGCAAGTTTGCGAATGAATGAATGAATAGGTTAAAATGTACTATGAAAATGGATGATTCATTTGAGAGGCTAACATTAGAAAGAACAGAATGAGTATGTACGTAGGCTCAAATTAATGCGCAGTCATGCCTGCTTATAAAAACCCGACAATGATAAAAGCCAATTGTACATATATGTTAACGTTATACTAATGAGTTAATTGAAAGGCTTAACCAAAATTAAATATGACACAAACTCAAATGTATTTGAAGGTATTACAAATGTTCTAAAATACATAAAACTACAAATTCCTTTACGATGGAAACTCTTCATCATCTTGACAAATCTCTAAATGACCATGAAATATCTTTGCTAAGAAATGGTCCTAATTTTATTACGAACAGAATACTCTTGTAGCATTTCACAATTTTATTTTTAGATGAACTTGATTTGGAATACTTTTAAAATAAGAAGCGAATAATGTAAGAACAAGAATTTCAGATATATTGTCAAACTACATTTCTACCTCAACTGAAAATGAAGTATACTCCTGGAAACAATTATATAAAGGTGAATCGATGGATATTGTCAAAACGCACAACAAATACTAATTGATCGGTTCATGGTTTCAAAAATGTGTAACTTAACAATCTTCACAACCCCGTAATGCAAATTACCTGTGCTCACTAGTGACTAGCTTCGTGAGGAATCTTCTCCGAGTTCTAGTGGGAAGACGTGACCAGTGAAGTCCAATCTGTTCGGGTGTAGCGATCCTTGTAGATTTTATGGGCTATCAATGATTCACAGGAACAGTATAGCACTAACATCAAGGGTAGGGCTTTACAAACAAACCAACATATAATCTTACCGAATATCTAGCTAGGATACTCAAACTATATGACAACATTATAAAAGCATGTAATCGAAAATTCAAGTGAATCCAATAGGAGGCTCACAGCAAATCATATAGATGATAAAACTATGGCAATTTAAATGTTTCTTCTTTGTTTATTAATGTATCTGTTAATTGAGAGGTGGATGATATAAATCGATATTTAGAATGTCACTCATTTAAATTTACATTACCTGTTAGACTACTTTGAGGTTATTATGAGCTTGAAATTATGTTCACGTTCCACCTTAGTCGTTTTTCGAGGAAATCTATATTGGCAAGAAGAAGGACTAGCTATGGCTACCCGATTTCGTCGACTGTCGAGAATCTTTAGAAACCAATGCATGCAAGAGATGTGGCATTCCACCAAAAAATCTGGTTATGTCATATGAGTGAAAATTTTTTTGAGAGGAGATAGCTCGGCACTATTTGAATAAGGAAACAAGATAACGGAGAGTATGAAGTTGATCAAATAAATCGAATCTGTTGATCGCTAACTAACGTTTTTCAATCACTTGATTGAACAAAGACAATAACAGTTTAAAAGTTAGAAATTCGATAAAAAGAATTAGTCATCTAGTCATAGAGACAGAAGACAGACAGAATTAAGTTCAATCTTATCTACATCTACAACAAATAATTATCTTAAATTTTCTGGAAAAAAAAAATTAGTGAAAAGAGAAAAATAAAATCAACGATCGCAGAGAGATTGGAAAAGACACTGTAGATGTCTCGTATCATAAAGAAGAGAAAATCAGAATGCCAAACAAACATGATAGAAAAAAAGTCAATTTTTGTACTATCGATACAATAAGGTCAGTATTCATAAAATTCAAAAGCATGACACCTGAGTAAGAGAAATACCATTCGTGCCACAACTTCAACCAGAAAGAATTCTCTGTTATCCTATTGTTATAGATGGATTTGTCGCTAGGTACATTTAGTTAGCATCACAACTATTCTGAATCAACATGAACATCAATAGGCTTAAAATTTACCAAGATGTTGCAGTATGTGGTATTGTTGAACACTTACGTAGTTTATTCTAACCATTAAACAGATGATTCGTTTTAAGCTTTACTCTGTCACCTATATATTTAACGATATGCAATCTTGAACATACTTTATACTTGTGTATGATAATGCGTATGTTTGTTCATTTTTTGTATGGAAAAATTATTAAGTGACTATACATCACTGCATTACGGGGTTGTGAAGATTATTAAGTTACACATTTAAAATCATGTATCGATCAATGTTAGACCACCATTAGAAACATGGGAGCACTGGACGTCCGTTTCGTCCTGGTATGGGACTCATCAGCAGTGCGCATCCCAAAATTAATCAGAGTTAGGCATTAACGCAACTGGATGCCAGTCCAGTGGTCAGGCGTTCGCGCGTAAGAACGAAAGCCCTGAATTCGAATCCTCCGAGGCACAGGAGTCATGGATGCGTACTGCTGATGAGTCCCATACCAGGACGAAACGGCCGTCCAGTACTTCTAGGTTTTTATTGATGGTCTAACATTGATCGATCCATGACTTCAAATGTGTGACTATATATATATATCATGAGCTCCCGACAAACTCATTATCTTGTCTCCAACTTATTCACAGTCACTTTTTGTCTTATTGATGCATAATTGCTATTTATTAATGTGATGAGGTCGACTAGTGAGGAGCAATTAAGTCATAATATGCATGACTGTGAATCATTGCATTACCGAAACCTGAGGTTTAAACGATTGTTGCATCTCTTATTTAATTATCTGTCGTTTAGCAATTCTAAAATATACATGTCCTAAATACTGTTCGTATTCAACCCTTGATACAGTGCTGTTCTAGATGCATCAAGCTGACCGAACATGCATAGAGTTAGGTGGAATATATCTTCCATTAGCGCCAATCTCGTTCGTTTACACTAGGATCTGACAACAGCTACTAAACTATACTTTCAGTTTGAGAATAAACAAAACGATCGATATGTAACCAGCCGTAGCCAAAGCCTCTGTTTGTTCACTGTATTTTTAATAACAATAGCATTCATACATTCCATTTTCGACATATTTCGCATTAAATAACTCAAATTCCATTGTGAACAAAATCAGTATTTAAGCATGAATGGACAAGATTTTGGTGCGAAATTGATGTAGATCTTATTGATCATTGATAGTTTCGATTTTCATTATTTTTCTAAAACCTCAGACCAAACTGCCGGGTAAAAAGTTACAATTATTTAAATGTTAATTACAGAGATTCTTTCACAGATAACACATACATACGGTCTCTTTTATATACTTGGAGTCTAATTTCAGCCAAACTGTTCGTTCGAATTTTAACAGATATTCAATTAATTTTTTATAATGATTTTACATAAAAGGTGGCTGATGAAAAAGTGTTTGGCACGATTACATTATAAACGTTGAATACTTTATACTATATAATATTCCTGAAGTCTGATTTTGATGGATAAGTGATTATTTATTTTCTTATTTCACACTCCGCTCTCTCTCTCTCTCTTAACATGTAGACTAGAAACAATACAGTTAGTGAAAAACTATATTTAGTTTAATTAAAGACATTACATGACCGTGAAAAGTATATGCAAAAACAAGGATACGATAAATTTTCATCAATCGATCATTACAATCAAGATAGGCTAATCGATAAAGAAATATCAACTAGAAATGGATTTGACGAAAAGAAAATACCAATAAAAAAAATGTAATTTAGAAGAATTTGAAAAACAGAAAATGGAGTAGTACATCTATAAAAAGACTATATAATAACTGACTAAAAGTTATACGTCTCTAATGGGTTATAATTTACTAGTAATAATAACAATAATAATAATAAAAACAAAAAGCAAATTTCACGGTTCGAACGTTGTTGTTTTGAGGTCAAATAAGGAGGAGGATTGAGTAACCGTGCCCATCTTTTTTTTTTCTCAACTTTAGAAATTAGATTGGAGTTTGAGTATTTTTAGCCAAAACCTCCGCTTGAAAATGTTTTGTACAATAGAGAATTCGATCACTCTGTTTATAATTGTTTAAACTGAAAATTGAAAGAAAAGTAGAAAAGTAAAGATTTCATCTTGATTGATAAGTACAAAAATAGTGTACTAAAGTAACAAATCAACCAATCACAGCCAAGGGTTTTCCTGGTGGGAAATAGAATCTCAAGGCCAATTGGTCAGCCCATGAATTAAATCCAAAATTAAGACCCTTATCATGTGAGTTCTGGGGATCTAACGTCCCCAACAAATAGAAATTTAAATAAATTGTATAAACAACTAGCACGTATAACATATCCGATCAACGTTTTCAAAATCAGTAAACCATTGAATAAATTCTTTGATATTTAATGTGATACGTTTTGAATTAGAAATCTATTCAAACGTACAAACAAACTCATAAGTAGTAAACTCAATGAAACATATTTCTAAATATTTTTATCCACCTTAAAAATATCAGTTTATAAGTCACCAACTGTGAATAAGAAGTTAACTAATTAGTGATGAAAACATAAACAGAGAAAATTCACTCTTGAAAAATGATTGAATATTCAAGTAAATTTATGATATATTTAAATAAAATAGCTTCATAATCTAATATAGATTTATCGATCAGTTATGGACTTTTTAAAGGATTATTGCATTTGTTACAATATTTAAAAGTTAAATGAATTTTCTCATGAAACAAACTCAAGTGTAGAAATCTTATTTAATTTCGAATAAATAAATCGTATTATGCCTCTCTATCTTCTTTTGCCATAGATGAATTAATGTCCATCCGACAGGTTTAAACTTCACTTGGTTTGACAAGAAATCATATGTGCACTATTGGGTTCTTACTCAGTAGCCTAAAGGTTAAGTGTTCATGGAGCGAGACTAAAGGTCATAAGTTATGTCTTTGGGAGTTAGGTCGTGGATGTGGACTGATAAGGAATCCCATACCAGTATGAAGCAACCGTCCGATGCTTCCTGGTTTCCAGAAGTGGTCTAAGATCAGTCAGGGATTTAATCTATGAAAATCAATGAATGTAGATCGTTTTTTTCCAGGGAAAAGAAAACAAATATCTACCACTAGTACATTCGGTATATGGCCAGCAGTGGAATCCAGTTTGTACGTTTCGTCCCGTTTACAACTCATTAGCTGGATGTACCTGGATCCCAGTGCTTAGAAACATATTGAGACTATAATTAAACTACTGAAGAGTAGCCTCCATTGACAGACAATATTTCGTGCCTATTATTAAAGCTGAAGGTAAACCCAAGTCAAAAGTTGATCAAAATTAATATTTCTTCCAAGGTATTGACTCAGTCTTAACAGTTAGTGTGAAACTCAACTATTAACCAGGTCTTCATCTTACATTTCAGTAACAAAGCGATGCTCTCAGAGTAGCAACTGCTTACATTTTATCATCATATGTCAGTCTATGAAATACGAAGAATGTTATTCGAACTACGCTACAACGTGTTTTCTGTCAATTTCAAACTTTATTATTTACGTCACGGAAATTTTTATCAGAAATTAAGAAAATAATTCAACCTGAGGCAACCTTGTAAACAAATGACTAGAGAGTGAATAGTTCTCTTTGCAGATTGTGATACAATCATTACGTTAGTACATAGGAACATCAGGGTAATGTGAACACATTAAGCTATCTATGTCCATACAACGGTTCCAGAAGTCACATGTTATATTACTGTTTTTTCGACTCACAGACACAAAGACTTGTAGAAAACTTCAGTATATCCAATAAGTATATATTATTTTTAGACCCATTGTAATATCAGATACGTTTACTTACTTAAGAAAACGGAGTGACTAACACTGGGCTAGGGGGCGTCGCTAATTATAACAAATCGTTTAAGCTTTTCTTTACTACATAATCTTACTGTCTCTGAGATGAAGGTTTAGTATTTGCTTCAATCAACAACACATAACTTCAAACCACAAATTAAAAGCAATATTATTTAAGTACAAAAGACGATAACTTTCAAATTAATTGTGAACCATCTTTAAATGGTTATAATTTGATGGAAATTATGGTTACATTTAAATAGATAAAATCGAATTTTTCTGACTGTTTTTCCGAATTAATCAAGAATATCTTTATCAACTATCTTAATGGTGTTATTATAGAAAAATGGAAAGACGACAAGTTATAAATTTCCAAGTTATCGATTATTGTTAGTTAAATGGTGTGTAGTGGATCAACTTGAATCTCATTGGGTGATAATATGATACATTACTATGCACACTGACTGTAATTCAAATGACTGTAGACAGACCATTGAATTGACATATAAATGGTGTGTATACAGACATCAGTCTTGCAAACTATATGGCTTCCTAGTATTCTGTTCTATAACCTGATGTGGTATCATATGAACCTGGATAATTTACATGGTGCGTTCTTGTTTGTTTGGTCTGTCTTGGGTAGACTGTGAAAAGGAAATTATGTCACACTAAAACGAAAAATTTACACGGCTTTTTGAAAATTTGATCGATTAATGGAATGATGCGATCAACTGCTAATATGACAAAACGTAACAACAATCTGAAACTGAGATTTCCAAGTAATACCCTATCAGATAGATCATCTTCAGTGAAGATATGTCTTTGAACAGTCTAAAAAATACCATTTAACGTTAATAAAATCTCACTGCATTAAATTTTAGTTAAATTCCGAAACGAAATCGATGTGCCTTACTGAAATGTTAAAGGATGAAGTAGAACAAAGCAATTCACTCAAGCATATGTCAGCAGGTCCCGCAGTAATCTAACACTGAACACTGATTTCTGATATTTTCAGTATTTAATCTTCGTTAAGAAAAATGATAAAGTATCATAGTGATTCGGAACTTTTGACCAATTCATATACAAAGCAACTATTTTCAAAATTAAAACTAATTTTATATTTGTTTCTCATGGAAACAATCTTACGAATATAAATCACCCTGCTTTAAATCAATAATTATAATGTTCAACTTAATTTAATCCACAATATTTCATGAATCATAGCGTCTGCCCAAGTAAAAACAGTTGTTTTAGGAAGCAACTTTTCATTAAAGCACTGAATGAATGCTTACTAAGCGTAAACATCTAGAGTTATGACAATATACGCACAGCGTTATTTGACTTTTACACATAATAGCGTACTTTCAAACTTATCGGAACTTTAAAAATTCAATAGTAACTTCGCAATTTATCGAAATACCTTAGTCTTTCAAAAGAGTGTTACTTAATGGACTGGGTGATTCAGGAGACGCGTAACTTCAGGCTGACTTTTGCAAGGATAGGTCATGTACTGACCAAGTCGCAACAATTAAATGAATCAAGCTCATCACTAAATATCAACTTTCTTGATTATGAGAAAGCATTTGAGAGAGTAAACGGAGAACATTTTGGAACTATCTTCGACACTATGGTGTACCTGGAAAGATCATCAACATCGTACGGAATTATTACGACGGACTAAACTGAAACATCGTGCATCAAGGTCAGCTTACAGGTGCATCCCAGATGAGGACTGGTGTTAGATAAGGCTGATTACTCTAATCTTTTCTATATCTTTTGGTAGTTGGTTGATTGGAACGTGAAGAACTCCACATGTCAAGAAAAGCACAGATTACACTGAACATCTTGGATAAAACTGAATTATCTTCACTTTTCAGATGACAGCTCTTCCATCTCGTACACAGAATTAAATGCAGATTAAGTCTATCATTGTAACAGTGAGTTCTGAAGAAATAGGAATCCACATTCACAAGGAAAAATCAAGTTTCTGAAGTACAACACAGTGGGGACTAACCCCATCAAACTTAGTGGTGAAGTTCTGGAAGAGGCGTAAGCTTCAACGCACTTGAGGATCAGTGTTGATGGATAGGGAGGACATGAAGTAGATGTGAAAGTATGAACTGGCAAAGTGAGGGTAGCATTCCTACAACGACAGGCTACCTGAAACTAGAAAAATATGTCACACATCAAGGAATTTGCAAAACTAGCTATCAAACACTATTAATGGGCAGTGTTGACACTTGCTGAAACGTCAACATGTTAGTGGGACATAGATGGATTAAAGTATGACTGCGTTAGCTGCGCGCTGATTGGTTAATTTCCTATCTAATCAGAGCCTGGCCCATACTTGGAGGGCAAACTAGAAAATTCTCGTGTTGTTAGCTGCACGCTAACTGGCCAAATCTGATCTGGTCAGTGTTAGTCAATCACGTGGATTACATTCCAGAAGCTTCTCATGTAAAAACTAAAGAGATACTAATGTTATATCTACTTCGCCTTTTGTTTCTCGCTTCTATTTAACCTTGCTATTTGGAATATAATCTTTTCCTGTTCCATCGTGTTCTGATTTTGGGACTTGTCGAGTGTATTGTTATCAGAGAATACTAAGCAATAGGAATTAGCTGGGAATTATTAAGAGACCATTTCAATACAACATCAAAAATAGCAAGTCTTCACAAACAATTCTCTACCTCACTTACTCTAGATCCACTACTTACTTACCTAAGCCTGTTACCCCCAATGGAGCATAGACCGCCGACCAGTATTCTCCAACCTACTCTGTCCTGGGCCTCCCTGGTAGGAAACTTAAGTACGTAGGTAAACAACTGCAAACTCCTTAACTTACAAACTATTGACAGATCTTTCACCGTTCATAGGTAATAATTCATTACTTATGGATCTGTCACTTGGTTTGTACCACAAGTAACCTAGTTAAGCAGAGATCGATACATTGTGGTCGTATATGGGAGGTATGTGTTTATGTTTTTGAGTTATAGTATGTGATGTAAATCGGACTAACATTCCTCCTATTCTAAACTTAGCAGGTTGTGGGTTGAAGGGTCAGTTTGGGTCAATAAATATTAATATATAACTTAACCATGTCGTGGGTAGCAGTATAATTGGTTTAAAAAGGATTTATCATTCATAAGTACCGAGAGAAAAGTTATAGCTAACTCAAAAACTAGAATGTTCATTAACTCTACTATAAGTTTATTAGCGTTTATATCGTTGTAGAATTCTAAGGTGAAG